GAGGCTCGACGGTGCCGTCCTGGTGCCCTCTTAGCCCGCTCTTGGAGCGTTCCCGGGCGCTCTCGGGGCCGTCTCAAGGCCCTTTTGGACGCCTCTCGGAGCGATCTTGGACCGCCATTGGGCCATCTTGAGGCCTCGAGAGCCCATCGGGGGCGAAAAAGCGAGAAGGCTAAGCACATTGGTTTTCATTAGTTTTTGGCGGATGTTGGCCTCTTGAGGGGGCCCTCGGAGACTTCGGGCAGCATGTGAAACCGCCTTGGGACAGCATGTGAAACCGCCTTGGGACCGTCGCGAGACTTCTTGGGCGTGTGTCGGAGGCTATCTTGGCCCATCCACCGCTATCTTGGGCCACCTTGGAGGCCATCTTGCGCGCTCTGAGGCCCTCTAGGAGCAATATTGAGCCATCTTGGGGCGCTGCTACGCCCCCCCCCCCCCCCTCCCCTGTCCAAACGCATGGAAAGGGGGGGGGGGGGGCGAGCAGGGAGGGGAAAGATATTGGAAAAGGAAACGCCTTAGACCACCTGCGTCCAAAGGGCTGGCGGGATTTGGATAGCGCGCTCAGCGAGTACTTGCGCGCGCTAGCAGGAGGGGCTATGTCTTGGATGAATGAGGACGGCGCCGCGCGCTGCGACTATCTGCGACAAGTATCCCTGCGCTGGAGAATGGAACGGTCAAGCGTTGCATTGGCGGTGCGGCGACTGAGGCGGTGCCAGAGCTGGCCCCGCTACCCCGAAGAGCACGGCGCAGCGCTTGCCGCGCCCCCCCCCAGCCCCCCCCCAAAAAAAAACTAGACGCATCGCGTGGGTGACAGGAAGCTCGCGAACACGAATTGGATGAGATTGCGCCCTACCCCGCGGGCCCAACAATTTGCAGCGGACTTGCAGCTAGTTTTGAGAGAGAGACGAGGGGGTGGGATGGCACGCGCAACGGGACTCGGACTTGGGCATATTTGAGGCAAGGGGTACAGCGCAACATTAATTATGGTTACAGACAGACCCCATAATATCGCACAGTTACGCAAGAAACCGGGGCGCAACAACGAGGAGGGAGGAGGAGGTCGCGGGGGTCAAGGGGGGGGGGAACTACTACGGCCCTACTGGTGCAACTGCGTAAATGTGGACACAGAGGGGTTGGGGGCTACAGCGTGGACATTGGACTTCCTAATCTCGCATTTAAGATTCTAGGAATGCAGATGCAAAGCTGCTTGAAGTTCTCAAATTTGGGAGTTTAGTTTTTTAAGGCGATGCTCATCTCATGCGGCCCTTGCGAAGCGCCGACGGGAGGTGCGCGACGCCGGACCAACTGTGGCAGCAGCAGTCGTCAATGGCCAATGCCCGCGGTGCAAGGAGCACGTTCGCAGACAGGAAAACAACGATCGAACGTGCCGCGAGATCGGTCCACAAACGCGGGATATGCCATCAGGGCAGGTCCAAGCGGGCCCACCCCGGAAACTAAACCAGGGCGCTAACGTGTAGAACCTGTACTCATCGGGCTCAAACACTAGAGGAGCACCGAGCTCACGCGCAAGAGCACTTCGCGGGGCCCGAACAGATCAGGGCAGCACAACGCGGCGCGGCCCACTGCCTCCAGATGGAGCGGGGGGATTCCGCGCCCGCCTCCGCCAGGCTCAAAATTAACTACGACCGCAGAAAGCAGGCCGGCATCGGGGCGGCAGCAGCAGCAGTCCGGCGAGCGCATCAGGGGCCCGAGGGGGAGGGCGAGGTCGCGGACCCCCAGGAGGTGGAGGCCCAGGTGGGGGAGGAGAGGGGGCGCAAGCAGACCTTCGAGACAGCGCGCGTGCGCTGCAGCGGCTGGCGCTACAGGGCGCGGTGGAGATTCGCGCCCCCCCCCCGCCTCGCCAGCGTGTTCTGGCTGGCCATCCCCGCGGGAGAATGGATCCAGGCACCGGCGGAGACTGGCCGCGAGCGCGGCAGGAAACGCGACAGCAAAGGGCATGCGCCGCGGACGCGGCCCCCCACGCGGCCACGTCGCAGCCGCCTCCGCGGTGGGCAAAGCGGGGGCGCCCGAGGCCAAGTTGCAGGACAACGACCAGCCGACGCAGCACGCGACGAAGACCCTCGCGGAGTTCATGGAGCTGCTGGAGCAGCCCGGGGGGCCGACATTCGCGACGGAGGTCTGCCAGCAGCGCAGAGTCCAAGAGGCCCACGAGCCCGCGGACAGGAGATGCAGACGGGCCCGCGCAAGGCCAAGGCCACGCATTCCATCGGGGCGCCGCCGTCGTTCAGGGCGGCGCTAGTCGAGCACGACTTAGACCGGGCCCCGTGCGAGAGGACCCTCGGCTTCAAGGGGGACATGTTGAAGCAGCCCCCGGGGGTGGCGCTCGCGCTCCTTGGCGCCGAGAATCGGGGGGCCCAGAACTTGAGGGAAGTGGGGGCCCAGCTCAGCGGGCGCCGACAATGAGCCAGCCACTGCCACCAGGGAAACCCAGCAGCCCTCAGCCGCGAAAAGGCGCGGGCCCCGCGAGCGCCTTCTCGGGGCCATGGGGCTAAGGCCCGCCAGCGACAGGCCCCCCTCAGCCCCGCCGCGCGCCGGAGAGGAACAGCTGGCGATGCAGTTCAGCAGCGACCGCGAGCGATATGCGATGCAATGAGACGCAGCGTCACGATTTGGGGGTCACATAGCCGAAATACTACGAGCGGCTACTCATCATCGGGAACAGCGCTCGAGGGCATACCGTCAGGCCATGGGGCCACAATGCGAGAAGGTTGGCCACCACATCAGCCAACCTGCTCTCGCAGTTGCGGTCTAACCCCCCCCGCGCCATTACTACCTCCATCGCAATTAGGCGCATCGGCGCCCCAGGTGTAGGACTAGGCAGAGCTGCTGAGAGCAGAACCTCACGGCAGCAGAAAACGCACGAGCACGAGCAGACCCACAACGCGCGGCAACCACTAGATGACGACTGCGGACCGACATCGGCGACGCACTCCACCCACCAGAGGGAGGGGGGATAAAGGGCACCACGGAGATGCAGGACCAGCCAGAACATTGAGCACCTGGAGCTGGACCGACCAGGACTCTCAGCGTTGCCCGGGCCGCCCCCCCTCCTCTCACAACCACCGAAGCAACTGCGGCCCCGCGCTTGCCCCCTCCTGCTACGCTGCGTTCCCCGGCCGAAGTAACAACCAGGCCAGGCCAGGGACAAGGCGACAGGCTCCGACTCCAACCGCCCCAGGTCCGCCCCCCGCCGCAGCTTTTTCGACTCGACCAGGTATTACGGCATCGCTCCACGCATTGGGCCACACTTGGAGCTAATACCACCCGCGGCGAGTTGGCATGGCGCAGCAGCGCAGCCCAACAGTCTGGACGGCGGCCGCGGCGGCCGGGCCCCACTCCCCAGCGCAAGAGACGGCGATGGAGATGGAAGAGGTGGCGATCCAGAAGCCAGCCGAGCGCAGAGGCGGACCAAGCGACCAGGTCTTCGGATGCATGCAGTACCGCCTGGAGATGTGCCACCAGACGCTGTAGAGCGCCAGTGCGAAGCACGACGACATCATCCAGCACGACCAGATTGCGCTATACGGTCTGCACGGGCAGCAGGAGCTCATCACGATGAGCCTCGCGGGGATCGCGGCCAGCAGGAGCCCGAACCAGCGTGGGGAGATCGAGCGCGCTCGCTTGGCGGAGCTACTCAGGCAGTAGCTGGGCGAGAACAGCGAGGCCATTGAACACAACCGCAGCGTCGAGATCACCCTCGGCAGCCAGAGTCGGATCCGCAAGGGGCCACGCCCATGGGAAGTCGACTACGAGAGGGCCCAGATCGACGGGCTCGAGGACTGCTGCACGAAGTGGACGGAGAGCAGCCGCGGCTGGGGCTAGGATGGGGTGGAGCTTGGCGGGCCAGAGCGGGCTCGGCGGCCTGCAGCAGGCGCGCAACAGCAGCAAGCAGCAGCGCCCCAAGTGCCCGACGCCCAGCAGGAGCATCCAGGGATGGAGGCCGCGCGTCAAGGCGCTGCCGACGCAGCTGCAGCTCCAGCCCCCGCCCCCCCCAGGGATTCCAGCGGAGCCGACAGCTCCAAGCCAGAGTGGGGATCTCCGCCTCCGCGACCCATCGGTCGCCGAGAAGGCGGGGTGGGGGCCGGGGCTAATGTCGTGAGCAGTGAATCCAGTCAGCAGCCTGCCCGCATCTTTCTCTTTCGGGCCCGGATGTCCCGCGACATCCGTCAGCGCTAACCTGCCAATGGGGCCTATCGTACGCGGCGCTAGCAGGCAAGCGGGCCCCACTACATATCAGCCCAACAGCAGGGCAGGCCAGCGCTTCTGTTCTCTCGGCGCCGCAGCGCGCCAGCAGTGAGGAGAGGGGGCGCGGGGGGGGCGGGGGGGCGGGGGGGGAAATGCTCTCATCGGGGGGGGGCCCGCTTCCACGGGGAGGCCCCGCCGCCCGCTTGCGTCTCGGCTCCAGCTCGCGAAGGCCTGGTTCCCATGCCACGGCGCAGCCGCCCCCCTGCCATGGGGCGGGGGGCCGCGCGCGCCAGGCCCCTCCCCCCCCGCTAGCAGCAAAGAGGGTTCGCATCCATATGTTTACCCAGGGCCTGCCTTTTTTGGTCGGCGAAGTAACTCAGACCCCTAAGGGCCTTATCCTTATCCTTACCTTCCTCTCCCTCCTCGTCCTCCTCCTCCTCCTCCTCCTCCTCCTCCTCCTCTTCGTCCTCCTCCTCCTCATCATCATCATCATCAGCATCATCATCATCATCATCATCATCATCATCATCATCATCATCATCATCATCATCATCATCATCATCATCATCATCATCATCCCCCTCCCCTTCCCTCACTCGTCCCCCTCTCACTGGCTACTGCGCGATTGCTGGGTGATGCGGCATGGGTCCCGGGCGTGTCGTGGCACTCGCGTTCGGGGTCGCGGGTCGCCCCCCTCCCCCCCCCCTCTCCCCCCTGCACGACCGTCGGTGTTTAGTCAGCCTGAGGCTTCCCTCCCTCCCTCCCGCTCTCCTCCCTCGTGCGGGCCCTCTCTTCAGGCGGTGGTGACGACGTGGGCGGCCACGAAGAACCGCCGCCATCCGGCGGCGCGGCCTCTCCCCGGCCGAGCTTGGGCGAAGCCATCTCGCCCCAGCCAGGCTGCGGGTCGGCGTCGCTGGAGGGAAGAGGGGTGGGAAGGGGAGGAAGGGGCCAGAGTTTTTGGTGACGTGTTTGGTCATCCGCAGGCTTCCAAACATATCGGGGGTAGGCATGTGAGAACCGGAAGTTTCCAGGAACTTCGTTGGAAACGTCCCAGGACCCCCGGATATCGCCGCAGGTATAAGGAGAAGGAGGGAGGATCATGATTTGACGTACGATGCGGAAGAGGAGGAGGAGGATGAAGAGGAGGAGGAGAAGGAGGAGAAGGAGGAGGAGGACGACGAGGAGAAAAACCCGTGTAAACCCAAGATTCATCAAGGATGTTGGAATTGGCCCTCCATCCAACCTCCCTCTTCCTAGGCCCCTGCAACGGTGCATTTCCACAGAGGGAATTGCTTCGTTGGAAGACAACTGTTTGAAGATCCTGGAGCATGTCAAAACAGTTTTTTTTTGGGGGGGAGGGCCTCACCGCCACGTATGAACCTGACTGCTGCGTCTTGACGATCCGGAATCGTGCCAGAGCGGCATTTGTTGGACTTCAACACCGCGAATCAACATATTTTTCGCACCCGCGTAATCTGGAATCCTTGAAAACACAATCTTCTTGTACGTTGATCATGGGAACCCGTGAGGATCATGCAATTTCATGAAACGAATGTGCGCGGCGCTAAAGCGAGAGCCACATTTTGAAAACTACCCGCCCTCAATCCGCGAAGTTCTTGCAATTCTCGATAAACGAATGTGCGCGGCGCTGAGGCGAGAACCACATTTTGAAAACGACCCGCCCTCAATCCGTAAACTGCTTGCACATGTTTCAAGCGAGTGTGCGCGGCGCTGAGGCGAGAGCCACATGTTCAAAACCACCCGCCCTCAATCCTTGAAGCTCATACAGATGCTTTAAACAAATGTTTTCGGCGCTTAGGCGAGAGCCACATTTTGAAAACCACCAGCCCTCAATCCGTGGAGCCTTTGCAAATGTTTAACACGAGTGTGCTCGGCGCTAAGGCGGGATCCACATGTTGAAAACCACCCGCTCTCCATCTGTGAAGCTGTTGTTATTATTTAAGCCTCAGAATCAGACGTGGTGAGGAAGTGTCAGTTGAAACGCCTGGCCCGGTCTATAAGGAGTGCGGACATCCATGCAACATGCACGCGATTGTGAGTTGAAGTACTGTTGCCACTTGGGGCTTAAGAACATGCCATCCATCCATATCAGCATGGTAGCGCGGAGCGTGGTTCCCTGACCGCAGAGTCTGCCCGCATCGGCCATGGAGGAGGCTCTCAGGGCGATGGAGGCCAGGCTGACGGCGGCGGAGCAGCAGATTGCAGACAGGACGGCCGAGCTCACTGAGGCCAGGAGGGTCATCGACCAGATGAGCACCGCGGGCCCCGCTGCAGCAGGAGCCGCAGCCGCTCCTCAGCAGCCCAGCCGCGGCGAGAGCTCCCTCGTGGACACGAGGGCGCTGGGCAAGCCGCCGCTGTTCTCGGGTGACCTGACGGCGGACGGCAAGCCAGAAGGAGGTCTAGCGTGGCCGCAGTGGTCATTCACATTCAGGGCATACGCTGGCGCGTTCGACCCGACGTGCAGGGACGCGCTGGAGTATGCAGCCAACAAGGTCGACGACGAGCAGCAGATCAGCAACGTGATGATGGATGTGAACGACAAGAAGCTCTCGTCGCAGATCTACTACGTGCTGGCACTCACGTGCCGTGGGCGAGCACTATCTGTGGTGCAACGAGTCCCAGAGGGCTGGGGGGTCGAGGCTTGGAGGCAGCTGTGCCGCGAGTTCGAGCCCAGGCTGCCGAGCCGCTTCCAGGGCATGCTACAGAGGCTGCTCGACCCCGTGCGAGGCCCCGACATGTTGGAGAGTATCTACACCTGGGAGCGCCAGCTGAAGGCCTATGAGGAGCAGTCTGGTGACCAGATGGCTGACTCAATCAAGCTGGCGACTTTGACCAACAAGCTCTTGGATGGGCCCCTGAAGACCCACGTCAACCTCCAGGTAGGCCGCTTGCAGACGTACGAAGCCGCGAAGGCCGAGGTGATCTCATACCTTCGCGCGACGGCCAGCCAGGAGGAGGAGCCAGTACCCATGGAGCTGAACCCTGTGACTGGAGAGCTGTGCCCTATGACACGGGGCAAGGCCGGCAAGGGCAAAGGCAAGGACAAGAGCGGCAAGGGAAAGAACCACGACGGAAAGGGTAAGAGCAAGAAGGTCTGTTTCTACTGCGCCAAGCCGAACCACACGAAGCAGGAGTGCAGGATCTTAGCGAAGGACCGAGCGAGCAAGGACATCAAGCCAGACAAGTCGGGACGCTACGCAGGCAAGCCAGTCGACAAGATCACAGGCAAGCGCCTCGAGAGCGAGAATGGCGACACAGCGGCGGTGACGGCCCTGTCCGACGATGACTACTACTACGACGAGCAGGATGGCTTCGTGTTCGCGCTGATGGAGGGCGAGAACTCCAACGAGATCGAGACGGGTTACTGCTGCGCCCTCGAGGGCGCCGACTTCGACCTGCTCTTTGACACGTGTGCTGCAAGGAGCGTCTGCCCACCTTCGTGGGCGCCTGAGGTGGCCATCAAGGAGTGCCGTGGGACGGTACTCTACCAGGCCGACGGCAACGAGCTCAAGCACTACGGGAAGAAGGAGGTGAGCATGACGGACCAGAACTCTGGCGAGCCATTGACGGTGAAGTTCGAGGCCAAAGGGGTGCGCAAGCCGATCATGGCGGCGAGTTCTGCAGTTGACGCGGGCTACGGTGTGTGGCTGTACGACGGAGGCAGCTACATCGTGAAGCCCGAGCAGGCGAAGGACTTGGCGAGCCACGTGAAGGACAACATCGGCAAAGGCAAGTCCATCGAGCTGAAGCGGAAGAACGGCATCTTCGTCATCCGAGCTCGTCGGTGCTCGACTGGCGAGCTGTGCCCGACGACGGAGAAGAGCGACGAGCCGAAGGATGTTGGCGGACGGCCCAAGGTGGAGCTCGAGGACAGCGAGGAGGCCAGGAGCGCGACCACCAAGAAGGTAGCGGTCTGGCCGAGCGCAGACGAGAGGGCGAAGCACGAGGTCACTCACTGTCCATTCCGTGCCTGGTGCAGGTACTGCTTGACGGGCCAGGCGACCGAGGATCAGCACAGGAGCCAGGAGTCCGCCTCGACCGTCGCGAAGCTCGCGCTGGACTACTGCTTCCTAGCGCGGGAGGGCGAGCTGCAGAAGGCGACGATACTGGTCATCGTGCTGAGGCATCCAGGTGCTGTTGGAGCCACGCAGGTGCCGAAGAAGGGAGTTGACGACGTTGCAGTGGAGTTCGTACTCTTCCACCTCGAGGCATGGGGTGTTGGAGAAGTCGTCCTGCGGGCGGACCAGGAGCCCGCCATCCAAGCACTTCTAGGCGAGCTACGCCGACGTCGGGTGGAGCATCACCGCACGACAGTCGAGAAGTCCACGAAGCACGACAGCAAGGCGAACGGCATGATCGAGGCTGTGGTGCGCAGAGTGGAGTCACTCACCCGCACGTACGTGGCCATCATCGAGGAGAAGTTCAAGACCAAGGTGACGAGTCAGTCGGTGATCCTGCCGTGGCTGGTCAGGCATGCGGCCTACGTCCTCACGAGGTTCGCCACGAAGAGCGATGGCAGGAGCGCTTGGGCGACGATCAAGGGCAAGGAGTTCGCGTCGCCCCTGGCGTGTGTGGGCGAGACTGTGGACTTCAAGCTGATCCGCAAGGACCAGTCGAAGCTCGACCCTCGCTGGGCCACAGGAGTGTTCCTCGGGCGGAGGGACGAGAGTGATGAGGTCATCGTGGGCACGGCGCGAGGGATCGAGTTCAGCAGGACGTTCAAGAGGCGTGACGACAGCGAGCGGTGGGTCCAGGAGGAGTTCAGGACGTTCATCGGTGTGCCCTGGAACCCGAGAGCGCCTACGACGGAGACACCGGTGGTGAGTACGAGGAGGAGATACATCACGCGTGCCCTGATCCAGGAGCACGGCGAGAGCCCAGATTGCCCAGCTTGCCTGGGGCTGTCCAGCGTGCACACGGTGGCGTGCAGGGCTCGGTTCGAGGAGATCTTCAAGGCGCAGGCTGAGCAGGCGATCCAGCTGCAGCCAGCTGTGGGTGCCGCAGGCGCCGAGGCTGCGAGGCCAGTACCACAACAGGCAGCTCCAGCACCGCAGCAGGAGATAAGTCCACCTCCAGGACTACAACTGCCAGCAGCTGCAGCACCGAAGAGAGAGAGAGAGAGAGATGCCGAAGCAGCCGAACCAGCAAGAAAGAGGCCAGTGATCGAGGTGGTTCCCACTGCGCCCATGGACACCGACCCAGTCAGTGAACCCATGACTCTAGGAGCCCTCTGCGAGGAGGAGGTCCCACCTCCAACCTTCGACGGGGAGCTGTTCGCGGGGAGCTTCCACGACCAGTTCACGGGCGAGGTGCTGCCGAAGGAGCGGGTGCTGCAGGGCGTGAAGCGCGAGCTCGACGAGATGGACGAGTTCGAGGTGATGGTCTGGAAGAAGCGCAGCGAGAAGCCAGCTGGTGAGAGGGTGATCTCCACCAAGCTCTTCCACACCAGGAAGGGTCCAGACTGTGTGCGATCGCGGATCGTCGCGCGCGACTTCGCAGGAGGCGTCTTTGCACCAGAGCACTACGCGGGGACACCACCGACATGGGCGCTGAAGCTGGTGATCTCGAGGTTGGCGTCGAGAGGCAGCTCGAGGCAGCTCGCAGCCCACGACATCTCGGTGGCCTTCTTCCACGCTGAGCTGAAGGAGCCCGTGTGGGCCGAGCCTCCGAAGGAGCTGAACTGCCCCGACTGGCTCTGGCTGGTGAGTAAGGCGCTGTACGGGATGCGTGAGTCGAGCGCTGACTTCCAGCAGCTGGTGCGTGACACGTACCGAGAGCATGGCTGGAACATCTTGTCGACGGTCCCCTGCTTGGCGTACCACAGCGAGTGGGACTGCCTGTCAGGCTTCCACGGGGATGACTTCTACACCGAGGGCGAGCCGCACGAGCTGGACAAGGTGGACGCAATGATCACGGGCAGCTTCAAGGCCAAGATCCTCCCGAGAGTTGGTCCAGCCGCTGAAGAGCAATGCCTGGTTCTACGACGGCTTCTACTTTGGAGCGCGAAGGGGTTCATGCTGCTGCCTGACCCGAAGCACTTCGAGAACCTGAGCACGTTGCTGGACCTGAAGAACGTGAAGCCTTCCCCGACGCCTGTCAGCCGAGCGACTGGGAAGAACGCGAGGGATGCTCTGGAGGAGCTGAAGCGGGCCGAGAAGGCGATCTACTGCAGGGGCACGGGCATCTGCATGTACATCGGCCCAGACCGCTTCGACATCCAGTTCGCAACCAAGCAGCTGGCGTCGGATATGGCACATCCGACGCGCCTGAGCATGATGCGACTCAGGAGGTTGGCACGCTACCTCGCGGGGACGCATGACGTCGGGATCGAGTTCCTCTACCAGGAGAAGTGGACGGATGTGGTGGTCTACTCCGACGGCGACTGGAGCGGCGACGTACAGACATGCAAGAGCACGTCGGCGGGGACCATCCAGGTCGGAGATCCTGGCGCTGGTCATCTCATCGAGAGCTGGAGCATCACGCAGGGCGCTGTTGCACTCAGCAGCGCAGAGTCGGAGTTCTACGCCATCGGCTCAGCGGCAGCGCGCGGCATCACGGTCAAGCAGGTGATGCTCGAGATCGCTGAGCTTGGAGCTGGTGTTCCAGCAGACGTGAGGCTGATCATTCGCACGGACTCAGACGCGGCCCGTGGGATGATCCACAGAGTGGGCTGCGGGCGTGTACGGCATCTACAGACCAGGTACCTTTGGCACCAGCAGGCGCTGAGGGAGAAGCAGTTCGAGGTTGAGAGAGTGGACGGCAAGAAGAACCCGAGTGATGCAGGCACGAAGCCGCTGGAGCAGGAGGCGCTGCAGACCTGCATGAGGAACCTCGGGATCGTGAGCAGGAAGATCGCTGGCTTCGGGACGGACGAGGCCAGCCAGGTGTTGGCGACGCTGCTGCTGTTCGCAGCGGCGCAGACCGCCGACGGGACGGTCGTGGAGCCCACCTGCTCGGCAGGCGGGAGCGAGTCACAGGGCGGTGGCATGCAGTTCACCGCGTTCATGATGGTCATCCTGACCCTCATTGGGATTGTGACGGGCGTGCTCATCGAGAGGCACGTGCTGAAGGAGCGCCGTGAGGAGCGCCGTGAGGTGACCGTATGCCTTCGAGACACAGGCGTGCAGGTGGAGCCAGCACCCAAGCGCTGCGAGGACAAGGGCAGTCAGGGCCCTTGCACGTATGCGAGGCATCGTTCTCAGCATCGGTTCGTACCCCTGCCAGAAGTGTCGTGGGGTTGAGAGGGTCCCGCAGGCGACGAAGGTAGCTGGCGCGAGGCTGTAGGCCACAGCCCGCTCTAGTGACAGCTGCAGGCAGCAACAGAGGCAAAGACCGGTACAACGCGTTTGGTTTTAATGTGCTCTGGCGGAGCGTATCCAGAGTACACTTTTCGCTTCAGCGTCGATCGGACTGATCACCCGATGATGCGCTGGAGCCACGAGTTCGAGCTACGGACGAGTGCAAGTTGCTAAGGCCAGCTTGCACCCTCGAGGGTGCCGCGCTGAGGAGGCGTGCGGACATCCATGCAACATGCACGCGATTGTGAGTTGAAGTACTGTAGCCACTTGGGGCTTAAGAACATGCCATCCATCCATATCAGCAAGGAGAAGGAATTGAGGTGATGAAGCCTGCGACCTGTTGCGTGGCACGAGAGGTAGGAGGAGAGGAGGAGGAGGAGGAGGAGGAGAAGGAGGACGGATGTTGTTCTTCCTTCATGAGCGACGTTTATCCTTCCGAATGTTTTCCCTCATTCTGGAAGTGTTTTCCTCCATTCTGAACTTTCATCCTCCATTCCGGATTTTTTCTGAAGGTTGTGATCCCTTGGGGTGGAGCAGTAGAAGGGAGTCACACCTGGCCGCCACGGCAGCGAAACTGATTTGAGAGCGGGGATTCGGAGGTCAGGGAGGCTTGGGTGTTCGGAGCAGACGGGAGTGAACGAAGGAATGCTGACCGAACAGGGGAAGGTGGGCCTGGACGAGGGAGAGACGAGGAAGGGGGCAGGGGAGGACGGGAGGAGGAAGCAGAGCAGGAGGGGGGTGTAGGAGGGAGGACGGGTGTTACGCGGGATGGTCCGACGTAGATCCAGAGCAGAAGCAGGGAGAGGAGGGGGCGAGGGATTTAACGGAGTTGGGAGGGGGGTGGGACAGGGGAAAGAAGTGGAGAGAGGACGGGTGGTCAGGAAAAAACGGTGGGAGACACTTGGAGAGATGCGGGGGCATGCAGGGCGAAGGAGGGATGGATAGTTTTTGTTTCGCCATCCAGGCTGCGAGCCAATAGCCGATCCGCCACGGCATGCATGGACCCCTCGCTCCACCGACATGGCGTCCACTCCCGCGGACGCGGCGAGCCCAGGCACCGAAGGAGACCGTGCCCGCTGCAACAGTTGATGCTGCATAGAATCCTCAGGCATTGAGAATCCTAGGCTTGTGTCGAGGGCAGCTAACGGGGGTTCTGGCTTGCTTCATCGAGCTGCGTTCCCGGGGGGAAACACACACAAACTTGTGACGCAGGTGGGAGACACCCAGTGGCGCTGCCGCGCGTATCCGCCACCGCGCTTGGGGCGGCTGCGGCCGGTTGGGGGGCCGGGGCAATGGGTTTGTCCGCTTGGGGACTTGGGTAGTAGTGGTAGTAGTAGAAGTAGTAGTAGTAGTAGTAGTAGTAGTAGTAGTAGTAGTAGTAGTAGTAGTAGTAGTAGTAGTAGTAGTAGTAGTAGTAGTAGTAGTAGTAGTAGTAGTAGTAGTAGTAGTAGTAGTAGTAGTAGTAGTAGTAGTAGTAGTAGTAGTAGTAGTCGTAGTAGTAGTAGCAGTAGTAGTAGTAGTAGCAGTAGTAGTAGTAGTAGTAGTAGTAGTAGTAGTCGTAGTCGTAGTCGTAGTAGTAGTAGTAGTAGTAGTAGCAGTAGTAAACTGTGCATGTACGTGCGCCAGGCTTTACGCAAGATGTCTCCGTGAGACGTGCCCGCCCAGCCCCGAGACGTCTGGCAGGTAGTCTGTGATGTGCGGGCCCTTCTGGCTGTGGCGGCGCTCCTTTGGATCCCCCTTGGCGCCGGCAGCGCCGAAGGCGGCGAAGTTTGGCGCGGCGCTGCCGAAAGGGCTCAGGACGGCCACGGCGGCGAGAGTTGTCCATTCGGCAGCACCCAGAGGGGCGAGGTCTCTTTTGGGTAACTATGCGGACATGGGTGGTCCGCTGGATCCCCCGAAAGGGCGCAGGAGAGTAGTGACGCTCGTGCGTTTGACAGCACCCACAGGCTTGAGGTGGTTTAGCTTAGATGTGCGTAAGATGGTACCCCGGCTCTCAAAGAGGCAGGAAAGAAGCGACGCCTGTGCGTTTGGCAACTCCCAGAGAAGCGAGGTCGAGGGTCTGCGTACAGGGGTGCTCCGATGGATCCCCTACAGGGCCGCAGGACAGTGGCGGCACCTGTGCGTTTGGCAACGTCCGTGAGGTTGAAGTCCGGTTGGTGCCTGCGTGGAACGCATGCGGGCGCCCGTTGGATTCCCCAGAGCCGCAGGAAAGTAGCGACAAGTGTGCGATTGTGAGCTCCCCAAGGGCGAGGTGTATGTCGGGTCGGCGTGCGGGGGCGCGCCGCTGGTCCGAGCAAGGGCGCAGGACGGCGGCGACAGCTCAGCGTTTGCCGGCACCCATTAGAGAGGGAATGGTTCTTGTTTTCGCTGGCAAGTCGATCGCGTTGGATGGCTCGCAGCCGTTGCGGCTAGGTTCGAAGCGCGCGCGCGGAACAAGTGGAACCCCGCCGGACATTTGAACAAGTCTGCCGAATTTTGGGCAGCGATTTGCGGCTCAGCGGGGACGTCTCGAGCGAGACCGCGGTCCTCCATGACGGGTTCGTGAGGAGGCGCAGCGAGACGCGAGCGCAGGACCCGCGGACCTTCCGGGAAGGCCCGAGGAGACCGAGGGACAGCGCCCCCGAAGCCGCCTGTTTTTGAGGAAAGTCCCACGCGAAAGCTGCACGGGGGACCGCACATCGGCATCACCGTCCAGTATCCAGAGCCAGACCCAGACCCCCTCGAGTCATGAAAAAATCACGACGGGAGGTTTTTCATTATTTTTGGCCTCCGGGGGCCCTTACCGGCCCGCGGGAGCGTCAAAAAACGACTCAGGACGAAAAACCGGTCCTGGGGAATGGGTCCAGACCGCTGGGGGTCGACGTCATGAAAAATTCATGACGTCGGGGGTCTGGGGAAGGGCCAGCCGCCCCCCTGGCCCAGGAGGTTGCGGCCCCGCCCTCCAGTCCCGCGCCGCTTGGGTTGCCTCGGGACGAGTTGCATTCGCAATTTGCTCCGTGCCGCCACGGATGCGCATGTCCTTCCACGGTCATTATAAGAAACACGGATCCACACTGCCGTCCTCGTTGTGCGTCATGAGTTTCATGAGTGAGACTTGAATTTTGATGTGTGCTCTGCCCTCCCGTCCTTCCACTCTGCACCTCTGCCCATCCCCCCCCCGCCCGCACAGCGTGGAGGAGGAGGAGGAGGAGGAGGAGGAGGAGGAGGAGGAGTAAGAGGACAAGGATCGGCTGTCTGTAACTTTGTGGGCCCCGGAAACGGCAGGGCCGTTTCGTCACCGTTTCCCAAAAAATGTTTTTTCGAAAATTGAAACTGCAAAACAACGGCGACCGGAAACGGCAAAAAAACGGCTCCAGGATTGGAACCGGAGCCGGAACCGGTCAAAAAACGGCGACGGAACCGGTAAACAAACGGCGTCGGAACCGGCAGCAAAACGGCAATACGGAACCGGTAAAAAACGGCCATGTCGTTTCCAGGGCCCACTAAGGTCTGTAATTTTCCAAGCGTATCTGCCTGAGTACAACGCAAGGCCAACGAAGTACGGCTGGTTCGCGTCGTGCCGACGCGGCGTCGACCCCGCCGCGGGTGTTCAAGCTTGAACGCTGCCAGTGGCCCAGAATCGTCCAACATGGAACGATCTGGCGACAGAAACGCCTCCAACCGTTCAAGTTCGAACAGTGTCAGAATCCAATGCCAGGGTCGTCAAGACACGAATCTCTCGCATGGGCTGCGCATGTGTGTCGGGGGTCCGCAGAGGGGGGTACCCCATGGCAAAAGGTGGGATTGAGGAGCGAACCCAGCTGAATACTCACATGTTCTTCCTTCTCCCAGGGGCCGTTTGGAACGATTCTCTTCTAACTCCTCCCCTGCCCCTGCTCCACCTTTGCGCCCCCCCCGACTGTGAATCACAGGGCTCCGTTGTGCCCCCCCCTCCCCCCCCCCGCAGGAGGCTCCTTCCCGCTGGAGGCGGCGGCGGGACCCGCGCCGCCTGCCCCTCGTCTGGTGCAGAGCCCGGAGGGCCAGGGCCCTGCTTCTTTCGATGATCCTCAGGGCGTGTGTTAGCCCACCGTCGCCGATGGCACACAGCTCGTGTCGGCCCTCCGCTCGTGTCGTGTTGAAGGCCGTCGGCGGACAACCTCCCTTTGGCTCCAGCGCACCTCCAACACATGCCCTGAGGATCACAGGAGTTCGCCCAGTCCCTGGACGGCGCCCCAGCTCGTGGCAACCGAAGAGCGTTCGAAGGTTCGCGCGGATGTCCTGGGTCTGCGCTGAACCCACGCGCCAGGGAGCGGGCCCTGGCTCCGATTCAAGAGATCCGCTCGAGCCTCCGAAGAGCTCACGTCCACGCGATGTTCGCGTCGGGATGGCGCCACGCCCGCCGACAGCCCCAAGTCGACCTCCGCCTCCCGCAAGCACCGCGCGCCGAGGGCTCTCCGTAACGCGGCGTCGAGCGCCGACAAGACGAGATTGACCACCGTCGGGGGTTGACACGTGACACCCCCGCACGCATTTACCAGGGCAGGGCAATCTGGACAGTCCGACCGCGCGAGTTACCCCGCCGCGGTGCAATACTCCTGGGGGCAGCCATGCGTCAACGATTTTGGAGATCGTCCGACCAGGGTCCAGCACACTGGTCCTAGGATTGTCCGACCGTGGCTCAACATTTTGCAGTCGTTCCTCTTTGTCGCAGGGTTACCACCTCGATCGAAAGCCCGAAGTTCCAGAGTGTGCTACCTCGGTGTAACATCGAGACTGACCGACGCTGCAGCTCAGTCGTACATCTTGGCTTTTTCCGCGACCCTGGAGGGAATGCAGTTGTTGCTCAATGGCGATGGGATTGTTCGATCCAAGCTCTTCCTTGATCTGATTGCATCGCTGCAGTCTGTGACTCCGACTGAGGAGGAGGAGGAGGAGGAAGAGGAGGGAGGAGGAGGAGAAAGAGGAGGAGGAGAAAGAGAAGGAGAAAAAGGAAGTGGAGGAAAAGGCCGAGGACGAGGGAGGAGGAGGAGGAGGAGGAGGAGGAGGAGGAGGAGGAGGAGGAGCAGGAGGAGAAGGAGGAGGAGGACGAGGAGAAGGAGGAGGAGGAGGAGGAGGAGGAGGAGGAGGGTCCGACGACCCCGAAATGCCTGGACCCTCGGCCCTCGCCTCTCGGTTCTCGATCCTCGAGGCAGCCAGGGGCACCCTCGATCCTCGATCCTCCATCCCGATCCTCGATCCTCGATCCTCGATCCTCGACCGAGGGCACACTCCAGCAGGGGGGGGGGGGAGAGCCCCTGGCCGCAGGCGGCGGCGGCGGAGGGCCGCGCGGCGCGGGCAGCCCCGCCGCTGCAGGCCGCGGCCGAGGAGGGCCGGGGGCCCAAAGTCGGCGATGGACGCCTCCTCCCGGCCTGTGGCCCTCCCTCCCGGGGACGGCCCATAGGAGGCGCTAGGGGTAGGTAGGAGGGATAATCATGATTACCGTTTTCCTCTCTGTAGCCGTTTGGGCTCCAGTCTGGAGGACCAGTGACAGCCATACACAGGTTCCAAGCCTGTGGGAGCCACAGAACACAGGCGACTCCGCGAAGCCCCACGAGAGAAGAGGGGAACCGGGCCCAGGCTGGCCCGCCGCGATGCAGAGGCTCCCGGGGGCCTCCAGCAGGGCCGACGGTGTGCGATCGACTCTCCACGCCTCGGGCCGGACGAAAGGGGGGGGATTGGGAAAGGGGGGGGTCCGAGATGTGCTGCATATATGCAGCTGGCTTCGGCCCCGCCGCCGGGCCCATTCCTCGGTAATATGGGCGCCTCCGGCGCCGGGAGGCGCCGGGAAAATCAGCTACGCGAGCTGCTTCTCAAACCCCCCCTTTGCTATCCCCCCCTTTCGCCCGACCCGAATCCCGTCCTCGCCCCGGCCCCCCCCCTCGCCGTTCCCCCGTCCCCCACTGCTCCCGTTGGCCCCGCGCGCGCGCTGCAAGTGCCGCCGCGCGTGTCCCCCGGAGGACCCGGAGGGCAGCGCGGCCGCCCGCCCGGAGGAGACCGAGCAGGAGTTCTGGGCCAGGCAGGGCCCCGGCATCCAGCGCCTCTTCTCCGCGTGGGATGCGAACCAGCTGGCGACCCCAGGGGGCAAAGAACTCAGAGGGGGACAAGGAACCCGTACCTCTACCCTTCGGCGGTTCTTTCCCTTTTTTCGGCCTCCTGGGAGGTCCTCGTCAGCACCGCTGGATTCGCCTCGAAATTCTGGTCAGAACACAAGAGTGGTCCGGGGAGTAGCGGTATCGGTACCTTTTGATTCCACCAAGAATTGCATGTGAGCGCCAAGGCGTCTGCCCGCTCCCCCCCCCCCCCCTCGCCCTCTGCCTCTCTCATCCCCCGGCCTCCCGCATATTCTCCCCCCAACGCCGGCTCCCACTACAGACGGGGAGCTTTTCGCACAGCTCTCGCTCGGAGTTCTTGCCCTCTTCAGGCGAACGAGGCCTTCCTGGCGATGCTGCAGTCGCAGCTCGGTGACCGCGTGGACATCTCCCGTCCAGACAGCGAGTTCCTGTACGTCACCAACAAGCACAGGCCCTGGCATGCCCCCGTCGTCGTCGTCCTCCCTCTCTCACCCTCCTCCTCGTCCTCATTGTGTTCCTTCCCTTGTCTGCGCTTACCTTGCTGGTCAATGTCGCTCCTCGTGCTCGACACCCTCGCCGCACGATTAAGAAAAGCGCCAGTGGCATGCGAGCTGAGACTTGCGTGTATCAAATATGTGTTTAGCATGGAGGCTTTCTTCCAGACTGCGACCAAGCGCCTGCAGGGGAGGGGCTTCGCAGGCAACAGAGCGGCGCAGACCAAGACGAGACGAGGCAGCGGCGAGGCAAAGGAAAGGATTCGGAATCCTCGACCCGCATTGTCCATTTTCTTCTCCTTTCGTTCCAGCTTAGAGAATGGATGGATTCGGTTTGTGTTCGGGATTCGGTGTTCTGCTACGTATGGGGCCAACGGGACCAGGCGGACAACGACGACGACGACGAGGGCGACGAGGACGAGGGGGAGGAGGAAGAAAACGACGACGAGGGGGCGGAGGGCCAGCACCCCCATCCGTCCTATCGGCCCAAGCCAAGAGCAAGGGCAGAAGAAAGGAACGCATCGGAGTCACATTGGAACCATATTGACACAATCTTAGGGTCGTCAACTATGGTTTGAAAGGGGTCATGTTGGGGCAATTTTGAAGTCGTCTTGGGCTCATGGGGTCGTCCCGGGGCCACCTAACATCGGGGTCACGCGGTAGCCTTAGTTCAGTCGGAAGACAGTGGGTTCGTCCCGTTGTTCTCTTGGGACCACAGGGCCGCTCTAGGGTCACATTGGGGCCATTGTTTAGCTTGGGGCGACAGGGGTAGTATCATGATCCTTTCAAAACCCTGTTGGGTCCATCTTGAAATCATCTTTCCGTTGCTGCCTCTCTCGTTGTTGTTGTTATTGATGTTGCTGTTGTTGTTGGCGTCGATGCTGCTGGTGCTGCCTGGGCTGCCTGTGGTGCTGGTGCTGGTGCTGCGTAACATGTCGGGTCCTCTTGGAGCCATCTTGGGGCCCTCGAGGGGGGCTTCTGGGCCTCTTGGGGCCCTGCGGGAGCCTTCTGATAGATCTTGAGAGGCTTCCGAGAGGGCCAAGAATTCAGCACACATTTAACACAAACCGCCTTTTTATTGGAGAGCATGTTGTGTTAAACTCGTGTTGAAAAATTATTCCAGTGCGACCCTACCTAGGAGTTGGAGCATTTAGGAAAGCAGCATCTACATCTACACCGGTAGCTGCATTTACATCTACACCTGCATCTACATCTACAGCAACATCAACGGCGAGACTCACATCTACATCTAGACCTACATCTACACCTACATCTACATATACACCTACATGCACATCTACACATACACCTACATCTACATCTACATCTACACGTTCGCATGGATGTTGCTTTCGCTGTGCATTGCTGTTGCTGTTGCTCTTGCCTTTGCTTTTGCCTTGCTATGCTATGCTGTGCTATGCTATGCTGCGCTATGCTATGCTATGCTGTGCTATGCTATGCTGCGCTGTGCTATGCTAAGCAATGCTATGATGTGCTATGCTGTGTTGTGCTGCGCTATGCTATGCTATGCTGAGCTATGCTATGATATGCCATGCTTGGCTATGCTATGTTATACTATGCTAATGCTGCGCTGCGCTATGCTGCGCTAAGCTAAGCTTAAGGTAAGCACAGCTATGCTAAGCAAAGCTAGGCTAGGCTAAGCGAAGCTAAGCTAAACCAAGCTAAGCTAAATTAAGCTAAGCTAAGCTAAGCTCAACTAAGATGAGGTAAGTTAAGCTAAGCGAAGCTAAGCTAAGCTAGGCTAGACAAAGCTAAGCTAAGCTAAAGCTAAGCTAAGCTAAGCTAAGCTAAGCTAAGCTAAGCTAAGCCAATATTAAATAAGCCAAGCCAAGATGAGATAAGCAACGCTAAGCTAAGGGGACGTAGCTGGGGGA